ATATGTCACAGATTAAAAAAAGACATAAACCCAAACAACTGAAAAATTTACCTGGTAAAAGGGAAATACTGATGGTGGTTCAGAGACGAGTTTGAACGATTTTTTTTAGAGTGATCCATTTATCAATCCAAACATTAAAAAATGTGTCTATTAAGAGAATAGAAATGTCTCTTTCCCTGTGTAAAGTTAAACTTTAAGTTTCAATCTGATATTCTAAATTCCTATCTTAGGTTCAGATCAGTTGGAGCATTTTCAGTAACTCTACAGGAGAATACCTAAGGTTTGATAGATCCTGTCTGATGCCATGAAAAAATCTGGTCTTAAGTTTGCTGGCAAAAACTATCATGTTGGAAGATTAATAACTAATATGGTGAAGAAATAAATAAAACTTAAGCTTTTTTTTAAGCCTGGTAAAACTGGTAAGGTACTGCTTCTTGGGTCCATGTTTCAGTCTCATTCTTTCGTCTTTCACATTGAATCAGCACTAACAACACACAGAAGCTGATGTGTATTACCTAGCTTGTTTACTTTTAAAAATGAATTTGGAAAGATAAATTAGGCTGCACAATATGGTTTGGTGACTGACTGTACATGAGAGCATTGACCGGTGAACAAAGTGAAACCATGCATTTGAATATTAGGGAAGGTTAGAGGAATAAAACACAATGCAGGTATGAGTAGTCAAGGTAAATTTCGAAACCGCTGACACAAACTGAAAGAAGGGAGCTAAGGGAGGTGCTCTAAATAATCTGAAAAGGAGATCGACAGAGATACACAGAAACCTAGGAGAATAATTCTGAATAGAAGAAAGAAAACAAAAACAGGAAAACAGTTGAGTTGAGTCATACGTGATCTCTTCTAAGGTGAGGGACCACATTATTTCACAACAGTTCCAAAGTATACTTCTGTTCTTGTTGGCTGCAATTATTTGATTGATTGATTGATTACCAGCCCTTTCTGTATATAACGATTATGTGAGGATGAAAGGTGTTTAGCATTCAACAATTTTTAAATGTTTTAAATGTTTTTGAGACCTCTGCATCATTAGTGTGCTATTCTTGTTCTTGAAAACACTGACTTACACAATCAGACATGTGTAATAAACAGAAAATGTATAAAAGATTATACAGAAATGCCTCATAAATCAAAATGATGCAAATAAATTTGTTATATCAAATGTATTTTCTAATTTTATAACTATAATTTGAAAAACATCACATTTTATGAAAATGATTTAATGGTCCAGGCTCTAAAGGGTTAACCTTTTTTGTTTTGGGCAGTGTTGTTTTTGACAGTTATCTCAGATTTAGTCTTATTTTTAGTGTTCAAGATGAAAACTGTTATTAGTTGTAGTCACATTTTAGTTATTAAAATATGTGATAGTTTTAGTCGGTTTTAGTCGACAAAATTTTTGTAAAATTTAGATTTTTGTAAAATGAATCTTCTAAACATATTTTACCCATCTTTCTGAATATTATGCCATAAGGCATGGTATTAATTTTGGTCAACGAGGACCAGTGTCCAGTCTTTGAACTTTGGTGAATCAGAATATTTACTGTCCTATAAAAACTGCTGCAAAGTCCCCTCTCACAATAACCCCTTAAGACACCCTCACTGGGACATCCTACCATCCACTGTGCTTGGGGACAAAGCAGCTCCTACATGCTTGCCAACCTGTGGGCCTTGACACAGGCAGAGCGGTGGGGGGGGGCCATACTAGGGAGAACAAAGAAAACTAAAGGCTAAATGGCCTTTGTGCCTCAACCCCTGCTCAAGTTAAGTGGACTAAACTGCTTTCAGGACCAGAATCTGCAGACTAATCAATGTGGAAAGGATTTTAGGTTCCCTGCTGCAAGACTGACACATTAAGCTGCTGAACACTGGTAATTCCTCTTATCAGAAGCAGAGACCAAAAGAGGTAAAGCGCAAACTTGCAAAGTTAGGGAAAGGGTTTCCAACTATTGGATTTCCTGTATAATTTTTGATCATTTCATGTTTTTACTGTTGTGTAAAGCAAGCTAACAAGAAAACAGTGGTGACTGCTTGGTACCCTATTCTCACGTTCTGAGCAAAGCTGATTCTGATAATTGCAGTTCAGCAAAATCCTCTTAATCAGCTATCAAAGAAATGCAGCTGTGCCGAAGCAGGGCTTTAGAACTGTCTGTGAAGACACCAGACAGCTGACCTGCACACTCCTTGTACACCCACCCAGGTATGTTATCGAGGCCTAGGGGCCTTTCTTGGATGACTCTCCTCAGAGTTTTCCTCACTTCAGCTATGTCAAGGTTGAGTGCCTCCTCTCCCTGATGTGGAACAGCTTTTTCCCTGCCGGAGTGCTGTTTAGTGCCTCAAACCTTCCAAAGAAGTTGTTTAGCCCATTTTGGAAGTCAGAGTTTGCCGCATCTACCCAGAGAGGGTAGGTTGTAGTCTAAGATCGCCTGTATGCCTCACCACATCCTCCTGGTTTTGCTGGCATCATGGAAGAGATCCTGGATCTTCTGACTGTGGTTCTGCTTCGCCGGTTGAACATTTTCCAGTCAGACCATTAAAAAAAAAAAAACATGGGGTTTCTCCATGGCCCCCTCAGACCACACTCTGAGTTCTTAACTGTTGGTTTAGCCAAGATTAGCTAGGGCCTGTATGCAGGAATTAGCCTGACAGATGGTTAATCTGATGACCTGAGGTGGCTTCAGGGAGCTGCTCTGAATGCATCTTTGATGTTATAGTAGGCTAAATCTAAAACGTTTTGACCCACATGTTGGTAAAAATTAGGGAGCACAGTCTTCAAGTTAGCCTAAAATCCACAGCAATGATGAAAACGCCTTCTGTGTGTGCAGATTGAAGCTCAGAAGTGGCCTTGTATAGAGTCTTCATGGCCTCTTTTTTTGAAGAGAGTTTGAGTCGGAGATTATCCATTTGTTATACAGTAAACGGACGTTGGAGAGCAGGACTGATGGGATCAGTGTTCTGTGGTCATTCCTTCTTAGCTTCGCCATTAACCCGCCTCTACTTCCCCACTTACGTTGCCTAGCACATCGCTTCCTCTGGCCTTCCCCTTGGCCTGGCCTGCTCAGTGAGCCCGTTACTTTGTTTTCATGCATTCTCACCACTCCGCAGCTTTTTAAACGATCAAGAGTGGCTGTGTTTTAACGAAAATTTGGTGACTATAGCTCTAGCAGGCGTTGGCACTCGTAGATGCAGGATCGATGCCTGGTTTGAAGCATTCTAAAAGGCATATTTTGTGGAATTGTCGAGAGCAGTATAAGGCCACTGCTGTCATGTGCTGCCATGATGGAATCTGAGCTCCTCACCCGATCTCGAAGGGTGTGCCTAGCCACCCTGCAAAGGAAACCCATTTTGGCCGCTTGTATTCGTGATCAGATAGATAGATAGATAGATAGATAGATAGATAGATAGATAGATAGATAGATAGATAGATAGATAGACAGACAGACAGACAGACAGACAGACAGACAGACAGACAGACAGACAGACAGACAGACAGACAGATCATCTATCTCCTTTATTTAACTGGATTGTATAGTTTAATACTATTAATACTTTTTACAAACCCAATCACTATATAGGGAAGAATACAATAGCCGAGAGAAGTAAATTCAGGTTAATTCTAAAAGAAAGTTTATTCATGTTTAGAATATTAATGTAGCATGAAAGAATCATTCCCTTAGGGTATTGACATGAGCTACAGTAAACAGTTTTTTTGTATTTTTTTTTTTTAAAGGTACACTATGCAACCGGTGTTGATTTTCCAGCGAGGCTCCCCCCAGAGGGCGAAAGTAAAAGTGCACTGTCGTAAATATGCACAGCTGTTCTCCTGGTTTCTCCGTCAAGCCAGGCGCGGTTGTTTTGAGCTTAGCAGCGAATGACTAATGCTGCGTTCACACTGGACGTAGCTGGCGCGACAGAAGCAGCGAGTTTACATGCAAAGTCAATGGTTGACACGCGTCAAGGCGCAGCAAAAGGTCCCGCAGCGCGTTTTGAGCAGCAGGCGCAGCGCGTCTGAGCAGCTGAAGCAGCGAGTTTAAGCATCTGACGCAGGGAGAGAGACACAGCGCTGATGATCACTCCTCTTAAACAGTTTATTTACGCCTAAATTAACTTAAAATGCAGAAATCTGCCGGCAGAATATGCAGTTTGGATTATTTAGATGAAAAACACCTACCAGCTGCCGCGGTGAACCCCGAGGAGGCAACCCGGCCAGAGGCTGTTGATGAAGGGTTTCCTACTGTCGGCGCACCGCTGGTATGTGGGGGTCTGAGCTGCTCCGACAGAAAAAATATTGAAGGCAGGATAATAATCTGAATGAACTGATTGCACTGATTACGTTTTCAGGTGTATTTTCTCACTTAAACACATATTAAAACTACTTTATTCCCACTGATCACAGCAAATATAGCTGCAAGGCAGAGAAAGGATAGTGAAGCTCCGCCCAATGCGCGTCAGACACACTTTTGCACCGCGCAGCCAGAGCAGTAAAGCTGATTCAGCCGCGCGTCAGAACTAACTGGTACAAGCAGCAAAAATGAAGCAGCAGACGCGATTTTGCTGCTTTTGCTGCGTGAACGTAGCATAACTGCACAAAGATTGCCACTGTGCTAGCAACGAGCATGCTTTTAACTGGGGGCGTCTAGCAGTTCTCGCCGTAAAGCAAGACTGACTCTCACGAGACTTCTGAGCCTGTGGGTGCGGGTCGGTGCTCCTGCAGTTGCAAGTGCAGTATTTCCCCCACAGACCACCAGGGCGGCCGAGAATACCTTTGTTCAACCTGAAATGACTCATTTAATCATCCATAACGTTATGGAAGACATTAATTAACTGAAAAATGTTGCATAGTGTGCCTTTAATTAGGACTTAAGTGAGGAATTAACTGTTCTGAGTTGAGTATAGTCCATTAATGTATAGAAGCTCTGGTTCGAGTATTTTCCAATGTATTAAACATTTGGTGAATTGTAATAAATAAGAGAAACAACACTGAAATGTGAGATATACCTTATTTTATTTCAGATTACATGAAATGTTAAGTCTAAAATTGCCTCTAGGTTAGTAGGATAAGAACCTTAAATTTTTTTTTAAGAAAAAGGCACAATTTAACAAACAATGTCAACTTGTTGTGTGTTAATGTTTTTGATTGATGATCAGAATTTCACCATTGGCTCTTTCAGACAGCTTCTCTTTTTATTTAGATGTATTTTTATTTCTTTAAAAAATATGCAGACTGTATCTGCAAGGATAGCAACACTTATTTTTCATGACAACTTTCTATCATGGATGTGTTCGAAAGTCAGATAAACAGAGTAACATTATACTAAAATAATAAATTCACAGTATAGAAAGACTTTTAAGATAGAAAATGATGATTATTACAGGCAGTTGTGTAAATTTAGACATGTTTCTAGTTATAACCAACAGATTCAAGTTCTGTTTCTAAGATCCCCTGGTGTAGAAAAGTTCAGTCTTTTTCTGCCAGAAGATCATCCAAGATGGATTCACACATGTAGAGGCAGCGAGGCACATGGAAGAAGCCTGGAGGAGAGAGGACATCCATATAATATGATAGAAAACCTTTTTAATTGGAATCAATACAAAAATATTCAGTAAGCAATTGGGTTTTCTATAACCAGAGAGATCCAATCTGAAACAAGATAGGTATGGTCCAAAGGGCAGCACTGAGGCACAAAACCATGCATGGACCCTCCTGCACCCACGGAAAATTAGGCGGAACATTCTTGTTGCTCTTTAATTTGTAGCTTACCAGCGGTCTGGTAAGGCAAAATACAAAAACACATTTTGACATATCACAGTGTGTAATGCAACAGAGCTTTTCTGTAACCATAACAGTCAAGACTGCAGCTGCAATCGAGCAAGGTTTTAAAAAGGACATGTGTTATCCTTTAATGTCTTTCTATATCATTGAAATATCAGTCTTTTTTTTCTTTTTTTAACTACTTTTTGGATTTTTACATTTTTTCTGGTGTTAAGTGTTCAGCAGCTTAACGTTTTTTTAACGTTCATGGACATAAGTAACTGGAATAAAAAGCTAAATAAAATGTGTCATGTAAACGTAGTTTAACACACATCTCTGCAGCTTCTCTACTGTTACCCACTCTTTACTCCATCCAGACAGTGCCTCGCCCACGACCAAAATCTAATAAATTAGCAAAGATTCCCAAAGGAGTAAATCATGATAATCTAATTAAAATCCAAATAACTCCAATTGCGGAAAAAGTTAAAACAATTAAATGCGGTCTGTTTAACATAAGATCGCTTTCCTCTAAAAGTCTACTAGTTAATGACTTGATTTGTGATAATCACATTGACTTGTTTTGCCTTACAGAAACCTGGCTGCAGCAAGAGGATTATGTGAGCATAAATGAGGCAACTCCTTCAAGCTATTTAAATTTTCACATACCCAGAAGTTCTGGGCGAGGAGGAGGAGTAGCAACAATCTTCCAGTCTGACTTACTGATTACTCCCAAAACAATTAATACCTACAACTCTTTTGAACATTTAACCCTTAATTTCCTTGATCCAAATTTCAAGGCAAGAAAACCTCTTCTTTTTGTAACTTTGTATCGTCCACCAGGTCCTTACTCTGAATTTTTAGATGAGTTTTCAGAGTTCCTTTCTGATTTGGTATTAAATACTGACAGGGTCATCATAGTGGGAGATTTTAACATCCATGCTGACATTGAAGGCGATAGCTTAAGAGCAGCCTTTAATGCTATCTTAGACACTATTGGCTTTGTTCAACATGTGAATAGTCCCACACATTCTCATCTTCATATTTTGGATCTTGTGCTGACATACGGCATAGAATGTGAAGAAATAACAGTATTTCCTCACAACCCTGTCCTCTCTGACCACTTTCTAATAACCTTCAGGATTACTTTAACAGAGTTCTCCTCCCCCAAAAGAAGGTTCAATTTTAGTAGATCTTTATCAGATAGTGCAGTTATAAATTTTGAAGAATCTGCTTCACTTTCTCTCTCCTCTGTGTCGCTGAGCAGTGCTGCAGAGTGCAAAAGCTTAGCTTATTCCCCTTCACAGGTTGATGATTTTGTTGATGGGGTTGCTAGTTCTCTGCGTATTGCCTTAGACAACGCAGCTCCTTTGAAAATGAAAACCGTTAAAAATAGAAAGCTTGCTCCTTGGTTTAATGCAGAGCTGCGTACTTTGAAGCAAAATGGTAGGAAACTGGAGAGAAAATATCGCTCCACAGGCCTGCGGGAGTCCTTCCTAGTCTGGAAAAATGGTTTACTGCTGTATAAGAGGACCCTTTGTAAAGCAAGAGAAGCATACTTCTCCTCATTAATAGAGGAGAATAAGAATAATCCTAGATTTCTTTTTAATACAGTTGCCAAACTCACCCAGAGCCATAGCTCTGTTGAACCGTCCATTCCACCTGCTCTTAGCAGCAATGATTTTATGGGATTCTTTATAAATAAGATTGATCTTATTAAAAATAAGATCATAAGCACTCCTCTATCCGCGATTGTACCTGAGGTAGTCATGGAATCTGAACCGGGTTTAGACTGCTTTGATCCAGTTGACCTTTCTGAATTAGCAAAATTATTGTCTTCGTCTAAGCCTTCAACTTGTATGGTAGATCCAGTTCCAACCAGGTTATTTAAGGAGGTATTCCCTTTGATCTCCTCCTCCATTTTAGATGTGATTAATCTATCTCTGTTACAGGGATATGTACCTAAAGCTTTTAAGGTTGCTGTAATTAAACCTCTGCTTAAGAAACCGTCTCTTGACCCGGATGACTTGGTCAATTATAGACCTATATCCAATCTTCCTTTCTTATCCAAAATTCTTGAGAAAGTAGTTGCCAAACAAGTTTGCAATCACTTACACCATAATTAACTTTTTGAAGAGTTTCAGTCTGGCTTTAGAGCTCATCATAGCACTGAAACAGCTCTGGTGAAAGTCACTAATTATATTCTCATGGCCTCAGATAATGGACTTGTATCTGTGCTCGTCCTGTTGGATCTTAGTGCTGCATTTGATACAGTTGACCATAATATTCTTTTAGAAAGACTTGAATATTTTGTTGGAATTAAAGGAACAGCACTAGACTGGTTTAAATCTTATTTAAATCTTATCTATCTGATCGAATTCAGTTTGTTCATGTTAATGATAGATCTTCAACACGCTCAAAGGTTACCTGTGGAGTACCACAGGGATCAGTGCTAGGACCAATTCTCTTTACTTTATACATGCTCCCAATTGGTAGAATTATTAGACAGCATGGGATTAATTTCCACTGTTATGCTGATGATACCCAGCTATATCTGTCTATAAATCCAGATGAAGCTAACCCATTACATAGATTACAGGCATGTCTTGAAGACATAAAAATCTGGATGAAGTCCACAAACTGTAGTTAAAAGCCTTCAGCTGATCCAAAATGCTGCAGCCAGAGTTCTAATGAAAATGAAAAAGAGAGATCATATCTCTCCTATCCTGGCTTCTCTTCATTGGCTTCCTGTTAAATCAAGAATAGAATTTAAAATCCTCCTTCTCACATATAAAGCCTTAAATGGCCAAGCTCCATCTGATATCAGAGATCTGATTGTTCCTTATGTTCCTAACAGAGCACTTCGCTCTCAATCTGCAGGTTTACTAGTGGTTCCTAGAATTTCTAAAAGTAGAATGGGAGGCAGATCTTTTAGTTATCAGGCTCCTCTCCTGTGGAACCAACTACCAGTTTTAGTCTGTGAGGCAGACACCCTGTCTACTTTTAAGGCTAGGCTTAAAACTTTCCTTTTTGATAACGCTTATAGTTAGAGTGGCTCAGGTTATCCTGAGCTATCTCTATAGTTATGCTGCTATAGGCTTAGACTTTTGGAGGACATAGGGACCCCCATTTCATCATTCTGCTTCATTCTCTCTCTGTTCTCCTATTCTGCAGAATCTGTTAGTTCAATCTCTAACCTTCTGCTCTCTCTGCTTTTCCTCAGAGTAGCTTTGCCTCGTCTGTTCCTGTTTGGCTGTGACGTCATCCTGGAGAGAAACATCAGCTGTGCTGCTTCCATCAACACCCTTGTTTATAGATGTTGGAGATCGGCCTGTTTTCCAGTGTGGTCCTGTTTCTCTGACCGTGACTGAGTGGATGTGCTCTCTTCGTCCTCTGGCATGGGAGCTGCCTTGGAGCTTGTCTGCCTGGCTGTGTGTTTCCTGGACGGGGCCGCCTTTTACAGCTGCTTTTTGTATCTCTGCTTCTGTCTCTTTGAACCCCAGTCGGCCTCAGCAGATGGCCGCTCACACTGAGCCTGGTTCTGCTGGAGGTTTCTTCCAGTTAAAAGGGAGTTTTTCCTCTCCACTGTCGCTACAAGCATGCTTAGTGTGAGGGATTGTATTTGAGTCAATGAGTCAATGCAATCAACTGGTTTTCCTTAGATAGAAAACTTTGTATCGATTTGACTGTATGATCTGGTTGAACTGTAAAGTGCCTTGAGATGACATGTGTTGTGAATTTGGCGCTGTATAAATAAACTGAATTGAATTGAATTAAACAAACCAGAACTAAATGGCTGTGATAGCAGGCATAGAAATGCTTAGGATCAATTTATTCTGAATGAGGTAAGCTCACCTGAGTGTATATTTGCACCTTCACTAGTGGCTAGGTCAGCATATTCCCTACCTGATAAAGAATGTGTTTAATTCCCTGGCTCTGTCCAGACTTATGTCTGATTTTCATTCTGATTGAAGCATGTGATCAACTTCTCTGAACATACATCTCTAATATACTGCTCTAGTGTAGCTTGCTCTGCAGTTCATTCTTACATGCCTCCTTTTTGTTTGTTTTCTTGACTTTAAGTTGCTTCTGTATAATTTTCAACAACTACCTCTCTCCTTCCCTAAAGGTGCTTTTTACTTGTTTAGCACTGTGTTTGGATTATTGGTGATCCAGGATTTATTACTGGGGAAGTATCTAATTGTTCTAACAGGGTTGATGTTATCTACACAGTAATTTATGTGATCAGTCACCCATCTGGTCATGGGATTGGTGGCCTCTCCATGTGGCTGGATCAGTGCATCTCAGTATGTGGCCTAAAATTAATATTGCCTAGCTTCCTATGACCGTCTTCTCAGAGCTTTCTTTATTGCGGGTTGCTAAGATGCCAAGACTTACTTTAAAGAGTTCTTGACATTTGTATAAAACAAGTCCAAAGTTGTTTCTTTTTTATCTGGCCACAAAGGGTTGTAAAGTTGGAAGGTGTGACTAATTTAAAAACACCAGTCATTGCCACAGATGTATGAGGTAATTTTGCCTCTCTTATCAGCACCTGAGCTGATGACATCACATGCAACAGCAAACTGTTTCCAACATAACACTTGTAAACTCTGGGTAAAAATATGTATAGTTACTTACTGTAAACATTTCAATATGTGGACTACGGAGACTAAACTCTGTAGTCTAGATACTCTAAAATGAAACCATGTTGAGCAATTCAATTCTAGAATTTGCTTGTATTTCGGTGTTACTTTGCTTGTATTTTAAAATGCCTTCTTCTATAAATAAAAAGACTGAGAAATGAGGTGCTGCAAAACCTGGTCTTAAATTGAATATTTTTTTTTAATGATTAGGATCTCTAGATTGTTGTTAGAAGAAACTGTGCAAGAAAAGAGCTTTGTGTTAACCACACGCACACCATTTCTTCTATTTGTTCATTTTTTTTATGCCAGATGCCCTGCCTGACAATACTGGGATACCAACCTGGGTTTTGAACCCAGGTCCACAGCTTTCCAAACATTTAAGCTTTCACCATGGGGTCTATACAAGCCGCTGTACATTATTAACTGTTAAAAAAAAGAGTTATCAAGGTTGATACGATCACTGTATTGTTTGATATGTGTTTCTCCCATCAGAATCAGATTTAACTGGCATGTCTTTAGACTTTCTTCTCAGTGTGAGCCCATCCACATTTCTCTCCATTCCTTTAAATAGGCTGTGTGCTGCATAATACGCTGCAATTCAGGAGACAAATTTGCCGTAAAATCCTACAGATGCGACGTTAATTGATGCTGCATGAATACCTCCAGCAGCTTTGATACATGAAGTCATGGTCAGTAGTAGAAGACTTGCTTGACAAGGTGCTTGTTGCTTTCATAAAATATGAAGATATTAGAAGTAAACCATCATGTAGGAAACAGTATTACAGCTTTAGCCATGCAATGCTGTGAATTCGGCCTGTCCACATTTCTGCCCCCTCCTGAGCCGACTTAGCTGGTTGCCACAGTTAGCCACAGCGCCATTCATGTCACTCGTGAGTCTCATTTCCTCATCCTAACTCTAGTTCCTTTAAACAACATTTGTGCTTACCTTTAAAGGGTCCTCCTTTAAAATCCAAAGCTACTTTCCCTTCTTGTGTCAGATAGCCAAACCACTCAACACTATTAGAGTCAGGAAACTGCAAACAGACAAAACTAACCATCACATGATGCTGACAGTTTATTGAAAGTCACAACATTCATTGTCCATGTTCAAAATTTAACATCAAAGTTTCAAAAAGGGTTCAAAGCGTTTATGTGAAACATCATATGGATTTATGCTAAGAAGGTTCTTTTTTCACAATTGTGGTGTTTAAAGATTTATTTTCATAATAAGGGTAACTTCATCAGATCCCATATAAATGTTCATAACTATTAGTATAGACTAATATTTTAGTTTTAAGGAGTTAAAGTGGAAGTGAAACAAATAACCAAACTAACTTATTTCACGAGTTTGCTTCTTACTATTATTAAAAAATTATATTACAAATGTGAAAATTATATATTTAAAAGAAAAAAAAGCATAGCCTTGTTTTATAAATTTTCTGGAAGGGCGCCACCATGTTGTAGGACACTAAGCAGTGACATCACAGGGTTTGTTCTCTGTGTAGCTTCTCCCTAAATACATTAGAAGTACAATTGAGACCTCACAATCTTAAATCACCTAAGAAATTTGGTATGATGAAAGACAAATCTGAAATGACACTCAGAGTGAGATCATATCTCTCCTATCCTGGCTTCTCTTCATTGGCTTCCTGTTAAATCCAGAATAGAATTTAAAATCCTCCTTCTCACATATAAAGCCTTAAATGGCCAAGCTCCATCTGATATCAGAGATCTGATTGTACCTTATGTTCCTAACAGAGCACTTCGCTCTCAATCTGCAAGTTTACTAGTGGTTCCTAGAATTTCTAAAAGAAAAATGGGAGGCAGATCTTTTATTTATAAGGCTCCAGTTTTAGTTTTATTCCGTGAGGCAGACACCCTGTCTACTTTTAAGGCTAGGCTTAAAACTTTCCTTTTTGATAAAGCTTATAGTTAGAGTGGCTCAGGTTTGTTGTTGTTCTACTAGCATTAAATGCCGAAGTGTATAATATAACAAAGTATTTAGCCTTTTCATCCTTATGCGCAGGAATTCTCTGTCTCCTTTCTAGTTTAAAAAAACACTCGGGTTAAGACTAATTGAAGGTTCTAACTTCCTGATTTAAATATCTTACAAAACCCAACCTGAAAAAGAACAATCTGCTATATCTGCTGATTTTAAGCAGTATTACTGTCATGACCTGCCATCCTGGACATTTTGGTTCTGTGTAGGTTTTAATTTTGGATTCTCAGTTATACTTTATTCTAAGTTATTCTGTATTGTCAAGATCTATATCATTTTTGAGTTCTTGGTTTTACTCTTCCTTGTTATCTTTCAGCATTTCCGCTATTATTCATTCCTTAGTCTAATTTAGTTAATATTCTTTCTTCTATCTCTAGGTTATAGTCTCCATTGCTTCAGTTATCTCAGGTCCCTTCTCTTATCCTCTAGTTTTCCCCTTGGTTATTTCTTATTTTGTAGTCATTAGTTTTATTCCCCTTTAGCCTTATTTAAGTTTTTTTTTAGTTACAGTTAAAACCCTGTTTTCCCTGGTTACTCTTTGTCACCCCCTGGTGCCCCTTTCCTTTCCCCTTACCTCCTTTCTAGCTGCTTCTGTCCACACCTGCTCCCAATTAGCCGATTACTCCACAATTGTTCTGTCTCTCAGATATACTCCTCCTCTGCAGTTCCTCTGCTGGATTATCTGCATTTCTTCTTGTACGTTTCTCCTGAGCTTCTCTTGTTTTTAATCCCTGAGTTCCCAGCCTGTTATTTATGTTTTTGTACTATCTTATTCACAATTAAAACTGCAAGAACGATCTCTGCCTCCTCTAGCCTGCATTTGGGTCCACAACAACATCCACCAACCCTAAACCTTCTGAAGTTTGTTTATAGTTATAATACTTTAAAAGAAACTCTGACATATTTCATGTTTTAGTCTATCGTTTGTAAACAAGAAAAGTTCTCTAATGAGAAAAAACCGAGGCTTCCTTAACATTGTAATAGTTTTGTGGGCAGCTTTCAAGCACACTTTTTTTTTAATATAATGTACCATTTTTAAAAGCGACTAATTATTTAGATAATTCAGTTTATTTGGGTCTGATGGTTTTGGAACAACTAAGTTCTGTTAAATCCACAGAGCCATACTCACATGGCTAAAGGTGTACTCATAGACCTTGAAGAATCTCTCCAGCAGTTTGGGCTGCTTGGTCTGACTGTAGGCCATGAGGAAGGCAACCAGAGCCTCGCTGTGCGGCCACCACAGCTTCATGCTCCACTCCAGCTGCTCACACAAACAAAAGTCAAATCTCACACCTTTTAGGTACTTAACCATTATGTGAAATTCAAAGTGCAGAGAAGATGCTAGTTCTTGTATACAGACCTGAGTGGGGCAGTGACCATCCACATCCAGAAAGTAGAACAGGCCACCATACTCTTCATCCCAGCCACTCTCATAAGGAAGCTGCACAAACTTTTCAATAGCAGTTCTCTGGATTTCCTTGTTATGGTTCTGTGTTGCATACTGCAGCAGGAACCAGCCTGCTTCCAGGGCATGGCCTGAGTCAGCAGAGGGAAGCGAGTAGAGAAAAAAACAGCAGTGGAAAAAGTTAAACAAGCAGCTAGGAGCCTAAAAGCTGCTTGTCTGCTGACTCTGAGTGTTACCTGGGTTCTGCAGCCGTCCCAGACATCCAGGCAGCTCTGCCCCAGCCAATGACACATTCTCTAAGATTGCCGTGCCATCTCTCTGTGCAGGGTTACAGGGGAGAAGGTTCACACACGCAATAAAAGGCCTGAAGGTTTTAACTTGATGAAACTGAAGCTTCAAGTTCCTGAATCTGACATAAACCAAAACCACAAGACTTCACTCATCCCTCATTCCCATTTCAACCAGTCTGACTTCCTTGACATATCGAAGCTACCAGGTTTTCAAAAATTATTTCCACTTTAGCTGGCTCGGAGCTCGTCTGCCTGTGTGTTTCCTGGACGGGGCCGCCTTTAAAGCTGCTTTTTGTATCTCTGCTTCTGTCTCCTTGATCCCCAGTCGGCCTCGGCAGATGGCCGCTCACACTGAGCCTGGTTCTGCTGGAGGTTTCTTCCTATTAAAAGGGAGTTTTTCCTCTCCACTGTCGCTACAAGCATGCTTAGTGTGAGGGATTGCATTTGAGTCAATGAGTCAATGCAATCAACTGGTTTTCCTTAGAAAGAAAACTTTGTAGCAATTTGACTGTATGATCTGTTGAACTGTAAAGTGCCGTGAGATGACATGTGTTGTGAATTTGGCGCTATATAAATAAACTGAATTGAATTGAATTGAATTTAGAAGCTTTTCATTATTTCTAATCTGACCTGTTTTTGGGGCGGTTTGGTGGGGGCCAGTATTTGTTGGTTTCCTATGTGCCAACTGTCTATAAATACAATTATAATGAATGACCAAAGATATTTATACAGAAAACTAAAGTAAAAATCACGACCTCCAGCACTTTGAGAAAAAAGCAACAGGTTTTATTTCATCCATCCATCTATCCATTATCTGACACGCTTGTCCCGAGTGGGGTCGCGAGGGGTGCTGGTGGCTATCTCCAGCAGTCAACGGGGTACACCCTGGACAGGTACAGGTTTTATTTGACATTTTTATTTCATTTTTGAATAAAGTTATGAGGAAATTTAAAAGCATCCTCATATCAACGTGCTTAACTTAACGTGCTTAACTTAACGTTCTTAACCAAACTGTATGTAATGGCATGATTTCTGCACGTTTTTTTTTTTCTGATTAGAAAGGACCAGCAATAAGATGCTACTTGGCAATAAACAATCAAATAATAAACAAGTGTGATGGAGCTCCTTAATGAAAATGTTGACCAACAGTTTGAGGAAAACAATGCATTAAGGTCCTTTCTGAAATGTTCAGTCAGATTTCTGCACCTATTGATGGTGTGTTGGTGAAATGTTCATCAGCGAGGTGCTCTAATGTAGTTAGAATGGTTTGTTTTATTATCTTTAAAACTACAACTCAATATCAATATTTACATTTACTGAATCATTAGTAAATCGTTTTTTTTTTTTTTCTAGGTATTTGAATTTAAAATCCTTTTTATGATTTACTAAGTCTCAGATTTGATGCATTACTGAATGATGGAGCCAGTTATTAACAAATCACACTGAACAAGTTTAAAAAATATGTGTAGAAAATGGTTAAATTAATCTTGTCTGACCAGACAGCTGTCTGACACCACCCCAAAACCTCTGAGCCTAGAGTGGCCCCCTTTAGGATACATATTTTACTGGAACAGTAATAAAAAAAAAAAAAGACAACAGAAAAACTCTTTGTTGTGTTATAATCTACCAAGAATGCAAAATTGTATCGGGTATGATGCTGAAAGTTTGCTCTGACACCCATGAACTTTGGCACGACACATGATGCATTCTGATAAGATGTTTAGGTTTGATTAGGTTAAAGAACAGTTTTCTATTCTAACCAGTAACACTCAGCTGTCGAAACATTAAAAAAGATATGAACGTTAGTCGTATACGATCATTTTACCCCTTCTCAGTTCACACCAGGCTGTCATTTTGTTGTTGCTACTGAAGGCTCTGAGCAGCTGTTAGCTTTACTTCCAGATCATAGTGAAGTCCTGATTCTCCACACTCTGGTCGCTCTGAGTGCTGTCTGCTGCTGGTAAGATACCAACAGCACAGAATATCTCCAAACAAAACCACATTGATTCAATAAGATTGATTACTGTAAAACATGTTAAATTAAATACATCCTAAAGTGAAGAAATGTATTTCGCATGGTTTACTTCTAAGGGTTAAAAAAATTGAATTTTTTGAGAAGAAACATTTAAGCAGGGGTTACCATCTAATGTTAAAAGAAACAATATAAAATTTCATTTAAATTTACAGAAACATCATCTGAATGCATTTTCTTTACCTTCTCTGGTAAAGAAGATACTAAACTAGCCCAGGGTTCTATGGACCATTTAGTGTGTTTTATGCTACGTTCAGACCGGACGCAGCAAAAGCAGCAAAATCGCGTCTGCTGCTTCCTTTTTGCTGCTTGTACCAGTTAGTTCTGACGCGCGGCTGAAGCAGCTTTCCTGCACTGGCTGCATGGTGCAAAAGTGTGTCTGACACGCGTTGGGCGGAGCTACTCTAACCTTTCTTTGCCTTGCAGCTATATTTGCTGTGATCAGTGGGAATAAAGTAGTTTTAATATGTTTTTAAGTGAGAAAATACACCTGAAAACTTAATCAGTGCAGTCAGTTCATCCAGATTACAATCCTGCCTCCCAATGTTATTTCTGTCGGAGCCGCTCAGACCCCCACATACCAGCGGTGCGCCGACAGAAGGAATCCCTTCAACAGCAGCCTCTGGCCGGGTCGCCTCCTCGCAGTTCACCGCAGCGGCTGGTAGGTGTTTTTCATCTAAATAATCCGATCTGCAGGCACCAGAATAATAAAAGCGAAAATATTCTGCCGGCAGATGTATGCATTTTAAGCTAATTATGCGTTAATAAACTGTTTAAGAGGAGTGATCATAGCGGTCAATGTCATCAGCGCTGTGTCTCTCTCCCTGCCAGCTCCCAGATCAGCTTCTCTGATTGGTTGACGCGGCGCGTCGAGCAGCAAAAATTCAATTTTTCCATCTCGAGCAGCAGCGCGTTTGCGGCGCGTCACGCGCGTCAGATGCTTAAACGCGCCCGACGCGCTGCTTCAGCTGCTCAGACGCGCTGCGCCTGCTGCTCAAAACGCGCCGCAGGACCTTTTGCTGCGCCTTGACACGCGTCAACCATTGACTTTGCATGTAAACTCGCTGCTTCTGTCGCGCCAGCTGCGTCCGGTGTGAACGCAGCATTAGAGGTAAAACGTTAACTGGAGACACACCTGGATGTGTTGTTGAATCTGACTCACACACCAGCTTCCCAGCTCTGCATACTTCCTCCCTGTCTCCAGACGGCCTTCAGACAGCTGCTGGACAAGACACAGCAGCATCATGGGAACCGCCATGCTGTTAGTGGGAACATCTCCTGGAAGCTGGGGCCGTCCAAGACCTGACGAATCCTCTCGGACCCAGTAGATCAGCTGCTCCATCATCTGCTCAGCCTCCAGCTAAAACACACCACAGCAGAAAGACTATTTGATCATCAAAAAACTGCTACAGACTCTTAAAAAAAAAAAAAAAAAAATGTATGATCTAAATTTAATGTCGAATATATAATATACCATAAATGAAGTATCTTTTATCAGTAATATACATTTTCTCTGGCATTTTTATTTGTTTGTTTTTAATGAAGAGGTAAGTCTTTGGGGTTGGATGGCCACTTGCAATGATCCTAATCTGCATCTAACCTGTCAAGTCAGATTAAAGAAGCACTCCACTTTAGTTCAACCCATCATTATTCTGGGATACTCTGCAGAATCTCTTTGAGTAAAGGAAAGACATTAGAACCTTTTGATCTTATGGGGGAAGCGACACCTAATAGGGTTGCCGACTGTCCCTTATAAAAAAGAGAAGTGTCCCATATTAAGATATAGAATTAGGTGTCTAATTTAATTCAGGCTTAGTTTAAATGTTTGCAAAATCAATTCACAACCAAAGTAAAGGGGAAACATAAATTGATAATGTCGGTAGGGTGGGAGACAGTGTCCCTTATTTCATTTTGACAGAGTTGGAAATCCTGCCGCCTACTAAACCTTGGTTATGGCCAATCAGGGTAACATATTAAACAGCAGACACCTCTTTTAAAAGTGAAATTATAGAATATGACAAAACAGATGTGACAGAAGCAGCTTCGCATATGTCCTCCTGTGCTGCCGTGTTTATTTTGGTTGAGCTGAAGGCTCGGCAGCTCTTGCTTTTGTCACAGCTATATGTCCTGCCCTAAACCAAAACACTGCAACATGATTAGCTGAACTGATTGGGGTCAGTCTCAAAAGTTTAAAGTGGAAGCAGAACAAGATGGACTCTGGTGTGTTTGTGAACCCACATATGTCACAAGAATTAAGGTTGCGGGTGAGGTTACAATCTGCATCTCCCTCCACAGAGACTCTAACAGATCCCATTCAGAGCCCTGACTCTAACTGTGTTAGTATAACTATTAAATGGAAACATACAGAAAAATGACAAGACTACAGTAGACCTTGATCTACTGGAAGGGAAGAATAATACTGTTCCTAACTACAGAAACCTTCACATCAGGTTTTTAATGCTTTGCTTTTTCCAGGCACTGGTATCGGATATAGGTAGAGCAAACTATTTTCCAGCTTAACTACACAATCTATCTTTATTGAAGTCCCAACTTTTGTATGTTTGTTTTTTTGATGGAAAAATTTTACCTTTTGAAATAAATATGATTCATTATTTTGTTGAATTACAAAGTATTTTTTTTCAGATTTTCTTAAGTTACATAACAGCAGAGAAATAAGCAAAGCTGCTACAACTTGCCTTCTGACCTTGTGATTTAAGAACTTCACTTTTACTCTTTATTTTTTTTTCATATCTAAACGAGCAGCACAGATACACAGCTCTGATCAGAAAAATCAACAATGGCATTCAATTTAGAAAAAAGAAATGGTGCAAATTTGAATTAATATTTTCCAAATAATGCTCCTCTTCGGTACAACAAGGTGAAGCATTCCTTAACTATGGTGTTCCTCAAAGCACCTTAGATGGCCGTTTTTCAATCGCTTCACAAATAAACTACCTTGACTCCTAGTTCTAAAGATAAACAATTAACAAAGAAAGCAAATTTACATTTCAATAAATCAATAAATAGCTAAAATATCAGTTAATGATTTAACCAGATTGACAGAAATGTATTCATACCTGCATTTCCTCATCACCAGTGACCCTGCTCAGTTCGTCCATGGCCATTACATAGAAACACTCACTGAATATGGTCCTCTGAACCTTGGTGGGTTTTCCATCTCTTGTCAAACAAAAAGCACATTTCCACTGATTTCCGTTGTTGGAAACACGAGCAAACTTTCTGAGGAAGGCTCCTCCTAAGAAGTAAACACATCAATGTGGCATTAGTATTTCACATAAGACAACATTTAGAACCATTGATCAAATATCTTTTTCAGACATAATTACATAAACTCATGGCTTTGTTTATGTGTATGTGTGATTTGCAGATTAATTTGGTAAAGAAAAGCTGAGGAATACTTAAACTAATCTTTAAATGGTTTGCTTTTTAATGGTGCCCTCACAAAAACATCTTCCAGGTTTGATTCCTGGTTTTTCTTCATAGAAGTAGCATGTTTCTCCTGTGCATGTGCATTTCTTGATTTTCAAAGAGTACTCGTTGTCACTTGAATCCAGATCCTTTGCATCGGCTGTGAAAACCTTGCAACTGAACAGGACCTCAAGCTAATAGGGGGCCTCGCCTCAAGTAATATTTTTATTTTTTGTAAGAAATTTATTTTTTATATATATTTGTCAGTTTATGTCAAGGATATATTAAAAAATCTAAACGAAAATCCCCCAAATGTAGCTGTCTTTTTATTGATGCTATGTCATTAGACCTTGTTCATTTCAATTTAGCTGATTAGTGGAGCTATCTCTGTATTTATGCTGCTATAGTCTTAGGCTGATGGAGCACATAAACACACAAACTGAGCTGAACTGAATGGATCACTGGTAAGATAAAAGAAAATAAAAGTGTTTTCTTCTGTTTTGTCCCTATGTAGCCATTTAGTGTTTACAATGTTTTTCTTTTTATTGGGGAGAACCTTTGCTGGTAAACCAAGCTAATGTGGCTGCTTTAAAGTGCACAAAATGATTCATCTCTTCTCCTAAAAATGTTCTATGATTAGAATGAGGAGCTCATCAAAATCCTCATTAGAATAGGTTTTTCCACACAGTTTTTTCCCCATTATCCTCCCACTACTTCTTCCTCCTATTACAAGGCTACAAGATCCAGTTGTAGATTACGTGACTTGTAATGCATCAAAACTTTTTATTAAAAAAAAAGTGTTTTTTCGAAATTGCAGTTTTTCAATTTTTGCAAATTCATTTTTCATAATTACAATTTTCACAATTTGATGGGTAATGGAAAGGCAGCTAATGTCACATTAAAGGTAGAATAATATTTGATGTTCTTATACTGGAGGAGGTGTCTGCTTAGAGGGAATTCTACAAATCTCTGCCGAGACTGCTGCCCCCCCCGACCCTGTTCCGGGTGAAGTGGAAGATGATGACTAAAGGCATTCTTATACTGAGAAGGGCTGGCTGGCAGAATGGAAACTTTAATCAAACGAAGGCTTATACAAATATTTTATTCTGTCGATGTGCTGCTTAAACACCATGTATTCTTTATTTTTGGATGGTGAGATCCAACTGTAGTTCATTTAATTTTCTTCTTTTTTTTAAATAGATAATATAATATATTATGTTATATTACAGTTCAACTGGAGTCAAAACAGCATGTTTAAATGCCTCTTCTAATATCGTACAGGTACTGCAGTTAAGTTACCACTGAAAGTTTTATTCTCTGAACTAACATCACTATATAAATCAGTCTGTGTCAGATGAGCCAACATGGAGCTCTTGGCTGTTTCTAGGTAATGATTATCACTAACAACAGAGCAAACACATGACCACCATTAATCATCAAAGTTTACAAAGCAGCCTGTCAGCATCTGTGGCACAAACCTGAGGGAGCTTAAAAGGTCAGAGCTGAAGGGTGATACAACAATGTAATATTCACCAACTATTTGAAATTTCTACTCAAAAATTGAAAGCTAATTATTTTCCAGAATGAACAATAATCAAAATTGTTCTATTAGATTTTCATTGTATATTTCTTTCATGTGTTTAGAACTATCATCAGTAGTACATTTTTAGAAGTCAGACAAACTCTAATATGTGTGTTATTTTTCATTGTTTCAGCAAAATAAATTGGGTAAAAATATCATTTATTTTAATTTATTTGCAAATTATTTAAAATCAAAATAGCACTGGATAACCTCCTTTGTTTAAGACACTTTATGTCTAGATGGATGACTCAGAATGGCTCAAGAAATTAGCAGTAAATGGACTAAAACATATTGGGCAACCAAAGATCAAAAGGAAAACTGCTTGAAAAGATTAAAAGAAAGTCTGGCAGACAGAAAAAAACCCATAAATAAATTAACTTTAGGCAACGCTATAGATCAGACTGATAAGGGATAGTATTTTTACAAGCTTGAGGGCCATTATCCCGCAACTTATCCTGCATTTATATGTCCCTAATCCAATCCACCTGAATCAAATGTGTTAATTTCCTCCTCGGTTACTAGGTATGTTTGGGATGAACAATGCATTGCCTAGAATGTGGGTTAGGGTGTGCGACTGTGCTGATGGGTGGGGTTAAAAATCAGTTGTGAAGTTGGACAGGTCATTCTGCAGTTGAACGAGATAGCTGACATCACCTTTGATGGAGCATAAATAAAAAAACACAAATAAAAAAAATCTTCTTGTGGAGTTCTATGTACTGTCTATATAAATTATCTTACAGTTAGTTCTATCTATTAATAATAGACAATATAATTTATCTAAATTATTAATTGTTATAAACCTATCCCCAATCAGCAACTAGCCTATTAATAAGGCTACATGTTACAACACAAAAGTATTAAATAATCAGCCAAGCATAGCCTAATATTGCATAATATTATAATTTTTTATTTGTGGATTGCTCTGCATGTTATTTTATATAAAATTTTAGTTATCAGGCTCCTCTCTTGTGGAACCAACTATCAGTTTTAGTCCGTGAGGCAGACACCCTGTCTACTTTTAAGTCTAGGCTTAAAACTTTCCTTTTTGATAAAGCTTATAGTTAGAGTGGCTCAGGTTATCCTGAGCTATCTCTATAGTTATGCTGCTATAGGCTTAGACTGCTGGAGGACATAGGCGCCCCTTTTTTATCATTCTGCTTCATTCTATCTTTTTTCTCCCACTCTGCAGAATCTGTTAGTTCAATCTCTAACGTTCTGCTCTCTCTGCTTTTTCTCATAGTAGCTTCATCTGGTCTGTTCCTGTTTGGCTGTGACTCCATCCTGGAGAGAAATATCAGCTGTGCTGCTGCCATCAACACCTTTGTTTATGTGTTTCAGTGTAGTCCTGTTTCTCTGACTGTGACAAACTGTATGTGCTCTCATGGAAGAAATCTTGATTTCAGAAGTGGGGCAGATTAAGTTTTTTTTCTTATTTATTTAACTATTATATATAAGCTCAGCGTGTTTTCTCTCTCTCGTGTTTTCTCTCTCTCGTGTTTTCTCTCCTTCTTTTTTCAGACACTACATTACTCTAATGTCAATGACTAAATCATGATTAGCAGGGCTTCCCCAGACAGATACGTTTTTACCAACCTGGTGATAGGAATAGAATTTGGAACGAACTGGACAGTAAACAGGACCTAAATCTAACCTTTTATCTTGATTGTGTTGGTCTGGACTGAGATAATAACAATCAAATCTGGCAAAGTGATTTGAGACACTTTTTAGTGCTGTACAGGCAAACTGAATTCAAATCTAAAATGAAACAAGGAGCCTGTTATACTTAGCAGCATTGTGAATTTTGGCTAGCTGTCATATTTAATGTATCATAAATGTTCTGAAAGGAGAGAAATGCTCCTCCCTTGTTGACTTGGCAGCTTGTGCAAGAAAAAAAAAATCACATTGTAGTCAATAATTGGCTGAGGCACATGAGAGATAACTGGTTAGTCTGACTGTAAAATCTTACTTGTCTCTGCTTGCAGAAGTTCAGAAGATCAGAAAGCACTAACATGAGTCTTAGATGTTTGTCAGAATATTCCTGCCAAAAAAGGCAAAACAAGGTCTTCATGAACCAAGAGTGAGTCGCCTGACCTGAACCATCCCAAGTCTGGGTTTTATTCTTACTTTGTCTTTATTCTAACATCAGAACAAATGATGGTGCAGAATCAAAGAATTAACCTTTAAAATATTTGCCATTATTATTCAGAGTCCATATAGGCTTGAATTTATTTGGAACCCGAACAGGCTATGAGGGGTTCTGATCAAACCAAACACAGCAGTAGACTCTCTACTTCTTCAAACTCACCGGCTTTTGCTGCTTCGAGGATTTCGGGTCTACGGAAACGATCCATGCTTCGATAGAGACGACAATACATCCACACCTGAAATAAAATCCTGAATATTCAATCTGAAAGACATTTCACCGACAGGATCTAACATTCAAACAGTCATTGCAGAGACATACCTGTCGACCCTGCAGCCACACATACTTCAGTTCATCATAAACTTTACCGTCCCTCCCGATGCATGTGAAGAAGCCTCTAAAATAGGAGCCGAGACATTCCTCACAGACAGGCTGAAAGCAGCACAACTAGCAGCAGGACAGATGTGTAGATACCGTACCCGTGCTCGGTGTCGTGGGAATATTTGAGCCAGAATTCCACCACGCTGTCCAGCTGTGCCCTGATGTGCTGTCGACACTCTTCCAGTTTCACAACAGACATGTTTTCCTTTGAAATGAAATGAACACGGACAGTAAAAGAGCTGCAGGTATCCTTCTTGCTCAGTTCATTTTTTTTCATTAAATTAAGAGCAAAAGACAACCTTTTTCTAATTACAGGAGCATAAATATTTTTCTATAAAAGAGTTTGACTTTGAAAAAAAACAGCTGGCTTAAAAATTTTTTGTTCTATGTAAAACAGATAAGATCCAATGAGCGGCATGCTGCAACACTAGCTTCTTCTTCTTGCACCTGTATTGTTACGTTTCTTTAGTGTTTAACAATCTAGAGACACCATTTATAGCTCAAAGGTAAAGAAGCAAAAATCTGAAGATCCCATCATCCACATATCAATACTAAAGAAGTAATATGTGAAATTTTACCATTAGGTAGACTTTTGTGCACCGTCTGTAGACCATAACAAGATGTGTGACAGGCCTGGCATCTCTCTACCTCCACTCCAGCTACAACCCCATCCCCCTGTCACTTTGTTTGCAAGTATTTGCAAAGGGTGGCTATACAGGAAAACAGCAGGACTTTTTGGAAGAACATGTCTATTGAAGAAGGAAGTAAGTCACAAGTTTCTAATACTGTTAGAGGCAGAACTTTACTTTGGAAAATGCACAACAAGTTAAAGTTTTAATCCACTGCATGCACTGTTTGTCATTTTGTTCCTATGCTGCGCTGCTCTCTGTGTGCAGGTATGGGTAAAGCTCTCACATCAACGTTCATGCACACTCAGCTAGCCTGGCTTGAAAATATCAGACTGGAGAGCAACACAGAGAGGTTTTGAAATATCTTCTGGAATATCTCGTTGTTGAATATCTGTTCCACAACCATTCTGATCATGTATAGCTTATGTGTTTAAAAGCAAAGTGTGTGGAGAGCAACATATAAATTCAAATGGGCTCTCATACAGTAGCAGCCATTCAGAATGGCCCTTCCCGATCAAACACCAGCAGAATGGCAGCCCACTTCCCTCCAACTCCCAGCGAAATCCCCTACAACTTCCAGCCACTGGAGTGACGCCCTGTTGCAATTTTTTTTTACTCTGACTCCACCCTGTCACTGGAATACAGGGTCTGCAGCATAAGGTGATTCTCTTTAGATCTTAATGTCCACAAATCATGACAGAATATTTTAGTACAAAGATTGATGGTTTAAAGGGAATTGTAGAACCAGCCAAGGACCCATCACAAAAAGTGGGGGAATTTTAAATAGCTATTACTGTATAGTAAAAAAAATGTGCATAGCTTCTGTGTTTCACACCACATTCAGTCCTTTACTCAGAGACCCTGATGAGGCAGATTGACAAAAGCAAGGTTGTCATAGAATCAGCACTACAGGCCAAGGACATAACAACCACGAAGGTTGTCATATTGTTCAACATTGGTGTCTGAACTCATCATTGCACCTTAGAGGAACAGTCCAAATACTCAATGCAAAGTTTTCTAAGAAGAGCAGTAGTTATTAATGCAGACACCATTAATTAACCATAGAAACGACTATTTTAAAAAAAAGTTTTTTGTGATCATAAAGAGAATATTTAACCTTAAATTGCTGCATTTATTATAAGATCCTAAAGTGATGCGCTGGAGAGATCGCCTTGTTGATTTTCTCATTTATTTTCTGTAGTTATATTTTAAGCATAACATTTATTCTCTGGGTATTAAATCCTAATCTAATCTTTAAAACGACAAAAAAATATATAAGATATAAATTTCTTTGTCTATCTCGGGTTGTAATGGAGACCGACTGTTAATGTTTTCTCAGGTTATTCCTGCAGCAGAGAAACGCGGAGTTTAAAGGACAGTTTTTACCTTGTAGTTTTTTCCAGCCGCGGAGCAGCGCTCAAGAAGCCCGTCCGTCTGTCAGCTACGCCGTCTGTCACGTGACGCAGCAGGAAGGGCTGACAGCCAATCAGAGCCGAGCTGTCCAGCTGATCCAGGGGTTCTTCAAGTGAAGGGAAGCGGCTCTGCTGAGCTCAGGAGTCCTGATGGTGTCAGTTTCCACATTATTAAAACCAGCAGCAGAACAACTCCACAATGTTTACCAAATGAGTGAGACTGGATTAATTTGGATTCATGTTGTTTGCATTAGGTTGGGGAGTAAAAAAGGTCACAACCAAATGCTTGCTACCAGTTTAAATACAATTAGATTATAATAAAGCCCAATTTACTGATACCTGCAGTAAAAAACGATTTTAGTTTTTAGTTAGTTAGATTTTAGTCCAACTTTTTCACACATCCCTTTAGACATACTTCTTTCTGATAGTGTTCACTCCAGAAGCAGCTGCTTAATTTAGCTCTTGATCATCACCAAGAACAAAGACAAGGGTTGTGGATGCTCCACTGGACCACAGACTGGACTAACGTCTCCCAGACTGCAGATGAATTCCCATCATGTTTGTTGATGACCCAATACTTTGCGTCAGGCTCGAGCTCCCTTCCCTCTCATCCCACATCCATCCATGTTAGAAACAAATGCCTGTCACTTCATATTTCGCTCTAGTTTAAACTAAAGATCATTGCTTAAACATATGGACAGAATAACTTTAACTGTGAAAAAAAAAGTTTCCAAGCGCATAATCTCCTCTTCTAACCATGCATCCTGTCCTTCAGCACCAAACGTATTGGTGGTGTTTAGGTGAGCAACAATCTCTTGTGGAGAAAGCAGCAAAACCAGTTTAAACTTGTCAAAGACAGCCAGGAAAGGGCAGCGGTAGAATTATAGACAGGAGGGGCGATCTGAGCTTTCATAAATTTTACTTTTTCCTCATAGAAATTAAGATAGCTCTAAATAAAACCAGAGGCTTGGTACAATTTTCCTGAATAATAATTCAGTTCAGTGTATTTATATGGCACCAGTTCAAAACACATCTCAAGGCACTTTATAATTCAACCAGATCATCCTATCTAAGGAAAACCAGTTGATTGCATCGACTCAATGACTCGAAGGCAATACCTCACACTAGGCATGCTTTTAGCGACAGTGGAGAGGAAAAAGCCCCTTTTAACAGGAAGAAACCTCGAGACCAGACTCAGTGTGATAGGATGAAGAGAGCACATTCAGCCAGTCACAGTGAGAAACAGGACTACACTGAAAAACAGGCCAATCTCAAACATCTATAAACAAAGGTGTTAGAGATTGAACTAACAAATTCTGCAGAGTGGGAGAAAAGAGATAGAATGAAGCAGAATGATGAAATGGGGGTCCCTATGTCCTCCAGCAGTCTAAGCCTATAGCAGCATAACTATAGAGATAGCTCAGGATAACCTGAGCCACTCTAACTAGAAGCTTTATGAAAAAAGAAAGTTTTAAGCCTAGCCTTAAAAGTAGACAGGGTGTCTGCCTCAAAGACTAAAACTGGTAGTTGGTTCCATGGAGAGGAGCCTGATAACTAAAAGATCTGTCTCCCATTCTACTTTTAGAAATTCTAGGAACCACTAGTAGGTGCTTTCATTTAGCATCTCTAAATGTTTTTTTAATAAGAACTGCATGTGGATTTAATATTTCTGGACCTGAAGTCCATCCTTCTTCCACTGATGCTCAGCTCTCCTACACTCTCTTCTGACAGCATAGGTTGATTCATTCAACCAGGGTTCAGATTTGGCTTATACTATCCAGATCTTAAAATGGGCAGAGAATTGAAAACATTTCAAAGAGCTGAGGAGAATTACAAGTTGAGGTATTTGCAGCAACCATATGAGTATTAAAGTTGGCCTGATTAAAAACATCAGATAAAGAGGAGTTTGAAACACAACAACACAGAGTGGGAGCAGCTGGGTTAAGTTTGATACAGGAGAGAGAAATCTCATATAAATGATCCATCCAAGCTACATCACAAAGTTTTAAATTAAAAACTGGTAAACCGTAAAATAAAACAAGATCCAGTGTGTCCAGGTTTCTGTGTGGGTGCAGACACAGACTGCATCAGATCAAGGGTCAATAATATTTGAGAATTACTATGAAACCAATGTTGCTGTTCTTAGCGTAAAAACAGAAAATTCTGTTTTTGTAGGGTCAGTCTGACCAATAAGCAGCATTTTCTAATTAGGACGTTAAATGTAACTAAAGGAAGATTAACTAATTTAGCATATGGTTATGCTTCATCTGGGAGTGGCAGCATAAACACGCTGTTATAAACAGTCTTGTAATGCTGAAGTCATACTGTGTTTCTGATGCAATGGATGAAAACCCTTTCTTGCACGCTCTCTTCCTAAGTGATGAAACAGATCCTTTGAGCATATTTCTGAGGTTGAGACATGCTGTAAGAAAGAACAGCTTCACTTATTCTAACAGAAGCTTCCTGCCATCCATACAGTAAATATCCTTCTTGATGTTAAAAAGAACTGATTAATCAGAGAGTCTCTGTAGGTTCTGATTGACTGAAAGCTTTGACACAATGGCAGGCTCCTTTCAGGGGAACTGTCTGTGTGGCGTCCTCGGTGCAGGCCTGTTTATGGCAGGCAAGTGCTGTAAAAATCCAGCATAGAAACGGCTGTACTGATGAGATGTGCTAACAAAGAGCTGCTTCCTCTGTAGGATGTGCATTCTTCATCATAGCAGCCTTTCCAGTTGTTCAGATTGCTTTGGGTAAGTTAGACACTACATTATTACTCAATTCTATAGTTTTTACAAACACAAGAAGATTTGATTTCTTTATCTTTCTTGCTTTTATATTTTTTAATGAATCAAGTTTCAGGTTTTGGAGAAAATCTGCAGAGATTTACCTTTTTATTGGAAAAAAATGGTACACACCTGCCACCTGACAGCTATTTTGGCTATATTTCCAAATTACACTAAAGAAACTAATTCAGTGTCCATAAAAATGTTTACTTGCTAGCGATGATCAACATCAAAACCATGCATGTTTAAATTGGAACAAAATTGATAAATCCTTACAAGTACAGTCATGAAAAAAATGGAGGAGCTTTGTAGTAAAAGAATATGGTTTATACTATCGAGTACTAATTCCAAAAGGAAGGACATAGAAGATCTGAAATGTCCTTCCAGAATCGTGCAATAGCTATTGATAGAAGGACTAAAAGGTTGTTTTAAGGGAAAGTGATGAAGTTACTCTGCATAAATAACCAGGGTCTAGAAAAAAGTTTAGATGCAGGTTTATTCTAAACCCGGCTCAACTGCGTTTGGCTAAGTTACCTCTGATGGTCAGATGGAGTTTTTAGAGAGGACCCAAGTAAGAACAGTGAGCCAGAAACAGTTCAGTGAGTTAGAGGTTTATTTATAGTCTAACCTTACAGCACTGCATAAGTCAAAACAAACAAAATATATCATGCTAAAAACCTGACAAAGATATATCAGTTTAAAGGATGAAGAATAAAGTAAAACAAAATTTGCAAAATAAGCTTGAGAAACACATACCAAGTATGAGCATAAAAAATAGAACAGATAAAGCAAGACCTGACTTATTCTAATAAATCATAAAACTGAAGAAAAACACTAAAAAACACAAATCCAAGCGAGAACCAGAAACAAACACTTAATGATTGTGACACTGGAGACCTCATTTTGTGAATGAATATTCTATTGCGGCTCAAACATGGTTCATTAATGCCTCCAAATACTATTTCTTGCTTAGTATGTTTAATATATGCCAATAAAAGAATATAATGATGCCATTTTTAGGGTTGGTTCAAACAGGGTTAAAGACTGTTAGTGAAACCTAATTTGACTTTTTATGAACAGGCCTGGTTTACAGGGAGGAGTGCCCAATAAGACCAGTCATCCCAGTGTATGTGATGGTGTTTGGGGTCTTGGCCCTGCTGGTGATGGCCATGTTCACGCTGCCAAAGCTCGTGTCTCCTGCAGCAGAGAGTCAGACCATCTGGAAGGTCGGTGTGGCCATCCTGCTCCTCGCGTCTTTCAGCTGGCTTCTCTTCGGTCAGTCCCAGCTCTCAAACGCTGCATTAAAATCCACACGTCTTCTCTTTGTTCTCATGAATCCCATTCTGGGTTTTATTTTAATTTGAATGAACCATACACTCTGAGAAATATGTTCTTGTTAAGATAATATTTTTTTCTTCATGTGGTTTCTGTGCTCCCAGGCAGTTATCACATTTATTCCATATATCCACCCAACTATAAGAAGAACATCACGGGCTCCACCAGGCGGACCGCCACCCTTCCTGCACCTGACAGCCTGACGGCCTCCCAGAACCACAGCCTTCAGAACCTCACACACACCCCGATCTTATTGGGGTTGAATCTAACTGGGTCCCTCAACACCACCGATGGGAGGATAGACAGAAACCAGGCAAACAACCAACAACCGTTACCGCAGCTTGTAGCAGTGTCTCCATACTGCAGCAGAACTGTGTACATGTTTGCTTTCTGGACCACCACACTGGTTCACGTGTTTTTGGGAAATGCACTGCTGATCATAATCTGTCTGTTTGGTTTCATGAAGTGTATAGATGTGTTTGTGAAGCAGCTCAAGACCTGAGCTGGCAGCTGAGATGACGTAGGAAAGCAGGACCATTATTGTCCTAAATATCGGCACCTCATGATACAGGGACGGATTTAGGAAATGTGAGGCCCTAGGCAAAGACAGGCATGGAGCTCTCTGAAATGAGTAGACACACATAAAACAGAAACATCATAAAGATATAGAATTTTTTTTATAGAATAGACATACATTATTTGTTCTACTTTTATTCCCTGTCCTCTTATCCCTTTTCTTGCTGTTTTCCTCTCTATGTTTTCTTTTGTCCCTTTTTCTTTTCATATTGGCAATGTGCTCAGCTGACTTTTCATGCTGTCTCCAAAGGAATTAAAGATTTTCCAATTACTAAGCCCATTCTAACTTAGCTGATTGCTCCTTCCTGTGTTTCCAAAAAGGCAACAGCAAAAATAATGAACAGTCCTTTTCACTATAGACAAGCCATGATCTGGGAGACACACTTAATATTATAAGCATTCTGATGACCTTTTAACAAAGGGATTTTTATGAAAAACATAATTGATGTGCACAAATAAGTCATTGCTTATATATAGTCATAGGAATTTTATGTGGCCCCCAGGAACTTAGGGCCCTAGGGAACTGCCTAGTTTTGACTAATGGTAAATCTGCCACTGTCATGATGCACCCCTGGGTTACTAGGGGTATTATACAACATTATTTGACACTTTTTTCATGTTACCTTTCATTTTATATAATATTTTTATACAAATACAAACTGTAACTAAACATGTAACAGAGTTTATCAGTTCCAGGCAGGGAGGTGAGCTAGCAGGTTTAACAATCAGGAGGCTGCTCTTTTCTCCAGAGGCTGTTTATCTATTGCTGAATTAATAAGATCCTGGTAAAAACAAAAACAAGATGTTCTCTAAAGCCTAAATTTGAAGTTGGAAAGGAAAGCTATCAAGTCAGATTAAAAACATCAGGTACATAAAGAGGGAAAGAAAGTGGATGAGAAACTACAACAAGAATGGAATATAAATTAAATTGAAATGGATTGTAAAACAGATAAAAAGGTTTAACTTGGGTGAGAAGGCCAAATGTTTTTTTTTTTATATTATGTATTGGAAAATTGAAACAAAGACAAAGCATATCAGGTGAAAGAAATTACATATTTGAAATTATTCCTTTTTTCACATATTTAATTCTTACATGGGCCTGTGGGGGGCTGTACAGTGACATCATTTGCAGCACTGTTATCTTCAAATCCTGGCCTAATTTCCATCTGCATGGAGTTTGCATTTTGATGAACTGACCATGTTGTACCCTGCCTCTAGACAGGCACAGGCCGCCCATGACCCTGATAGACAAGCAGTAGAAGATTTATGGAAGTCCTTTGGTTCCGATTTCCATGTATTTTATGCTTCTGTGTGTAACTGTTGTTGAATCATCTTGGTTCCTGGTTTCTCTTCCTCGTCTCTCATCAGAGAAGATTATTTCCTCTCCTCTTAGTTTCCAGATATCTGGTCTCATGCTATTAGCATGACTTTGAATAATATGTTCATAATGTAGGGAATGATGCTGCACTTGTTCTTTGTATATGGTTCTTGTTATTTCTTTATTAGGAGCCTGTTGTGACTTGACTTTTTTTTGGGGGGGAGGGGGCAGATTTTGAGGAATTTAAACATTGAAGTTATCTTGCTTCACTTGAAGGGAATAATTTCAACATACTATGAAGCAGTGACAGACCTTCCTGTCACCAGACTGAGAAGACAAGTAGCATTGATGACAAACAGGATTCTTTAGGAAGGAAAATTAGCACTAACTAAAATCATGTTAACTCCCATTGAACTCATTCTCACCCCCTGCCTGAAAAGCTTGGTATCCCTGATCAAAGAAAAACTCAAATCCACTGGTTACCCTGCTTCTCATCTGTAGGTCCATCTTTACTTCTCATGGCGAGATTCGTAGAACCAATCTAACTGTTAAAATGTCTGAGTGAACACCCCCTTCTGAGTTACAGCCATGAACACCTTCCATTCATCTTTTTTAAAAAACCTTTTCTTTGCCTCCTCTGTGTATTACGCATGTGGGTCACAGATATTCCTAAAATCATGACAATTTCACTGCAAAACAACAACAGCAACAAATTAAAACAATTTCAGTTGATAACATGCACAAACAACAACAAAGTTATTATATAGGAGACTGAGTAACAGACAGCTCTCGAAAAAAATCAATATATGAAAGGGGAATTAACGGGAAATTACATTTTTCCACCACTGTGTCGAGGATGGAACAATATCAATTATTTGTTTGGATTAGTTATTAAAAAGTATTTAATTAAAATGCTAAACAGACATCTTAATTTAAATAAAACCAACACTCTTTAGAATCAAAAAGATTGGAGCAAATCAAATTCATAATAGTTAAACATAATACAGGTAGATGTGACAAAAGATGACAAATGTAAAAAAAAAAAAATGTTTTACTATACAGACATAGATTAAAAATAGAAAATAAAAATTCTCTCTAAATTTAAGGTTCGAATTGAGACATAAATTATTACTGAGAAAAACAACATATAATATTTCTCCAGTTTTATTGCATAATCACCTCAAAAACAGACTCGGTCGTTTAAAGAGGGTTTTTAGCTTCGTTCCAGTGAACACTTCATACCAGAAGATGGCGCAAAAGTCTCAAAACAAAACAGCTATTTGAAACCTACCATTAAACGCTATATCACCATGCACCAGTAGGTGGCGGTACTTTCCTATTGCTTTATTTACTAAACATCTACACACTGTAGAAGAAGAAAACTGATCATGGCGCGAAGCTAATGAAGTTTTTCCAGAAAAGGTTCTTTTAAATTTTGTCTGTGTTCTGAACAGAACAGCCATTAACGAGCCGGAAGTCAGTCAGTCTGAGAAAAAAGAGAGAGAGAGATGCCGTTACTGAAGCTGAGAGAAGTAAGCATCGATTTCCCCTTCACTCCCTATGAGTGTCAGAAGGAGTACATGAGCAAAGTGCTTCAGTGTCTTCAGGAGGTGAGTCTCAGTGGAAACATGAAGCAGAACTCAACAGCTACCGGTTAGCTTATTTTAGAAAGACAGTTTTAATCAGAACAGATACAGATCGGAACAGTTTAATAGGGATAGAACTGATAAACGTTACTGCTGTAGTTGTTATTATTTTTGTTTCAGACACAAATGTACACTGGTATGAAAATGTAGATTTTTGAGAGAATACTGATTTCACAAACAATAAAGGTGAAAATGGGCCTATGAAAAACCCTGATAGATCTGTCTGTGGCTTTTGGACGATGGTGATGATGATGATGATGGTGATAATGAAGGACTCACTGCATTTAGGAAGCAAAGAATCAACTTGACCTCAGGTTGACCCTGGGATGGATGCTGATGACGTCAACAACCATCTGCACAACTTAATCTATGTATAATTAGTTAATACGTCTGTTTATTGATTCCTGAAAATATGGACTCAGATCCACTGATGCCAGTTTTTGTGATTATTTTGACTTCAATCTAACCATCCACTATATATGCTGCTGACTTTTGTTTATTTTCTATTATTAGGGGGCACATTTTTTAACTCATTCTTGCTTTTTATCCTTTGTTTACATGATAAAAAGTGTAACTATTGTTACATAAGTCTCAGATACAAGTAAAAAAAAACACTAATATCTGCCCAAAGCATTGTCTGGCCGATGCGTTGGTCTTTCTCTATATCAGGGGTGTTCAATTCAAAGTTAAAGAGGTCGACTCCAACAATATGTCTATGATGCAGAGGTCCAGAACTCCAATATGTATATATCTTTTTTTATTATTATCATTAGATTAATAATTGGTGGCCGATTTTTTTTTTTTTATTTATTTATTTTTTTTATATGGTGTATATATTTGTTTGTGGAATAGAGCTAGCCTTTTACTTCCTAGTTTGTCAACTGACTTAAATTAGATACAGAATTTAATTTCTTTTTAGATTTTATTACCAAACCACCTTGAAAACAGAAGGTTTGTCTAAAGATGAGCCTTTTAAACACTGGATGTTTCAAAGTGTCTGATTATTGAGAACCCTCTGAACGGTCCATCAGCTAGCTTTATCTATGCTGGTGAAGATTCTCAGTCATCTGAGAATCTCATAGTCACTCCAAAAAAGTAAAAAAACAATCCACTTTGTTTCAAAATTGGAAACAAAGTCCAGTGGATTGTTTTTAACAAGCTTTATCTAGCACTCAGATGTCAGCTTTCTAACTTGGATAAAGAATCCTGTGAGGTTCTGTATTTATATAGATTTCTACTAGGGGTGTGCAAAATAATCGTGATGATGATGCATCGTGATTCTAATTTTCATGATCTACTGCATCGATTCTTGATACCAAGAATCGATTATTAATTTCAAAAAATGAATAAATAAAATTGCATGAATGGTTGGCGAACATCAGCCAAAAACAAGTGTAATACAACTTCCAGTCCAGTAGATGTCGCTGCAAATGTGCTGACGCACGCTGCCTTGTGTCACAAGCATTTCCGGCCGCGGGATACTGTGCCGAGTCATTCAAAAACAAAACATGGAGGATAAAATATTGCAATGCATCGCAATAATTCAAGTATCGTGATGCATCGTGATAGAATCGCATCGTGGCCTGTGAATCGTGATTCGAATCGAATCGTGACTTCTTTGGCAATACCCACCCCTAATTTCTACTGATTATTCCCCTTAACCTTAAAAAGTAAAATGATCCAAACTATCAACAATTTGTCTCTGTTCCACTAGGGGTTATCAGCAATGAAGACGATTGATGCTTTAATAAGCTTGTGTATCTGCGTTCTTTGTCCCCAGAGAAAGAATGGGGTTCTGGAGAGTCCTACAGGAACCGGTAAAACTCTGTGTCTGCTGTGTGCGACTCTGGCATGGAGGGAGCGCTTCAGGGACACCATCTCTGCTCGCAAGATAGCAGAGAGGCTGAAAGGGAAGGAGTTGTTCCCCGACACACCACTGGCTTCCTGGGGGACGTCTGCTACTGACGGAGACAACCCAAGTATGTCCCTTCGTTTCATAGGCCTATGAGCACATGCAGTTCTGACAGCAGATACCAAGCTGATCTTCTGACCAGGTGTAAATGGAGTTTGCATGTTAAAGGGAGAAGGTCAGCAGGTGCAACAGTTAAGCATGTTGGCCTTCATCACCCTGGAAAAAATACATT